AACCATGGCCTCTTCCACATAAGCTCAGTGTGTGGGGCCAGATGACTGACCCTGAGTGGCCCTGGGCAGAAAACTCTGCTAGAACCATCCATTTACTTCTTTCTTTTCTTGGTGTTTTCTCCCTGCCCTTCCCTCCTCTCCAGCCACATATCTGATTCCTCCCCATCTTCTACATCCATTGGAACTGGGGGGAGGGGGTGTGCAGATACATTCCAGCATCTCTGCCCAAGGTACCCATCAGGCATCCAAACCTGACAGGAATGCTGTGTCCAACAGCTGGTGGTGAAGCTGGCTTTGCGAGGGGCAGGAGATGTGAGAAGGTATCAGCAGACCCTAGGTGGTGTCATCCACCTAGTATCTATGGGAAAAATGAAAGATTTCTGTAGTTAACCAGCAATAGCAAAGGATACTTTTCTGGAAAAAATCTGAGGCAGACTTTCTTTCCCACTTCCCCACCCTCTTCTCATAAGATAGCTGGGGAAATTGGTAGCAATTAGTCATTTGTGTTAATTAATTACTAATTTGGATAGGGGGAGTCTGGTCTTTTCTGAACTTAGTGCTCAGAAACTCAGATGTTCCAAGAGTGAATTCATTGTCTTCCCTCTCCATATATACTCCTCCTGAGTACTCTGTTTCTATCCATCATTTTGCCCCCTTCCTGGCCCTCAGGCTGAAAACCCTGCCCTTCTCTCCATCTACCTCAAATTAGTGACAGCCCTGTCAACCCAGCCTCTGCAAAGGCCCCCAAATCAGGTCTCCCCTGCATCCTCACTGACCCAGTCTCAGGTCAAGTCTTCATTGTCTTCCCCCAAGGCTGTTATGTCAGCTCCTCATTTCTCTGCTAGATGCTGGCCTTGCCACCAACCATGTGCCAAGCAATCAAGTTGCCTCTGGCAGAAGTTGGCAACAGGGTACTGTCATTTAGAAGCAACCTCAAACTAGAAATACAGCTGTGCTCCATGCTAGACAAGGAGGAGTCCTGAAGGGCAAGGAGGAGCTAGGAGTTATCCAGACAAAGAACAGAAAGACCATCCTGTGACAATTATGAACAAGGGCTCAGACACAGTGTGTGTGCTTTGGAGAACTTTAAGTGCTATGACCTTGATGACATTTGAAGGTCAGGTGTATGGCATCAGGTATTACAGGTATCTAATGCTGCAATATAAAAACAATCCAAAACTTAGTGCTTAAAACAATATCAGCATTTAGTTTGCTCTTTACTCTTCAATCTATACAGGGCTTGGTGAGGATAGCTCGTTTCCATTCCACTTGTCACCATATGGGGCTAGAATCGTATGAAGGTTTACTCACTGATGTAGCTGGAGGTTGATGCTGGTTGTGAGATGAAACTTTAGTTGGGTTGGTTGACTGGAATGCCTACATGTTGCCTTTCCATGAATAAGGAAGACTGGACTTCCTTACACCATGATGTCTGGTTCCAATGGCAAATGTCCCAAGAGAGAAAGAGCCAGGAAATTTTGTGTTGGCTTTTAAGACATAGCCTCAGAAGTCACATAGCATCACTTCTACTTTATTCTTTTCATTCGAGCTGAGTTGCTATGATTGGTCCATATTCATGGGGACTTATAAGAAGTAGAGAGCCAATGAGAGATGTTAATTGGGGGTGACATGTGCATGCTTGAATTTGAGAATGCTCTCTCTGGGGTGATGTAGTGAAAGGCTTGAAGGGGAAAGGCAAGACCAGTGATAGGCTGTTGGAGTAATCCAGGGGAGAGATAGTGAAGGTCAGAGCCAAGGCACACACCTGAAGATGAAGGGCAGGAGTCATGTACCAGAGATACAAGAAGAAATCACATGGCTTTACATTGGGGTGAATGCCAGGGGATGGGGAGTGAAGGACAGTGGCATCTAAGAGGATTGATGGGGGATGAAGACAAAAGAGGAACAGTTTGAGGGGGAAAAGAAAATGTGTTCTATTTGGGCAGTGATTAATCTTAGGGGTCTGAGAGTGTCCAGGTGAACATGTCCAGCAGACAGTGGGATAGATCTGAGTGTAATACTCTAGTGAAAGTTCTAGGTGACAAACTAGGACTTGGATGGCATCTTCCTATTGGCAAATGGGATTTCCCATGAATGTGTGCAAAAAGGATGCTGTGGTAGAAAAGGATACTACAGATAGAGCTATGGGGACATTAACTGTTAGAGGATCAACAGAGCATCTGGCAAATCATCCAAGATCAAATCACCTATTTTCTGGATCTGGCCCAGATCAGGGAATCTGGGTTTGAGTGTGCTCTGATGCTCTGTATCCGAGGAAGATTAATGGACCTTAATGAATTCCATTACCATCTAGTGCTACTTTCCCATTAGTCTCGTTCCATGCCTTTGTGGTCCCTTATACTTTAGAGTGGAAATGGCTATAAATTAAGGAAGATCTCTCTGTGTTACCAACGATCATGAAGATGGCATAAGAGCAGGTGACATTTCATTCTGTTATACATAGGTTGTCATGAGTTGGAACCAACACTAAGGCAACTAACAATGTTTGTTTTGTTTTTGTCTTTTTTCCTAATCCTTTACATGTTGTCCTCTGCACACAGATTGTTATGGCTAGGAAGTTTCCTCTCGTCCAGAGATTTTAAACCAGAGTTGTCCGTCAGATTCTGCTGGAGGAACTTGTCCAAATATATATTTTAGACTTCATTGCTACTGAATTTATTTCAGTAGGTCTGGATTTGGGCTGTTTCTATATTTTGAAGACACTTCCCCTACCTGAATCCTGGCCAGGTAATTTTGAATCAAAGCTGAGCTGAGATTTAACTCAACTGATTTAAGCTGATTTAACCTCATGATCTCACAGTTGGGGAACCACGGGCCTCAGAGGACAAAAAAACATGCTGAGGCCACACAGTTGTGTGAGACACAAGCCCAGAACATCTCGAGCAACTAGCACCTGAGCCCAGAAATGACTACAACATGCAGGGCATGATGCTAGGTACTCTGATCCCCTTTTCCTAGACCTTAGTTTCCCCATTTGTGAAAAGAAAGTGGGACTAGATAATTTTCAAAATATCTTTATCAGTAGAACCCTTTGGTTCAAACAAAATATTAATATCTTTATCAGTAGAACCCTTTGGTTCAAACAAAGTATTAAGATGAATTCTAATATATAAAACCAAACAAAGTGGAGCCTTTCTCTGGAGGCAGGGATGGAGTACTACCTCTGCTTACAAGTAGCATGCCTCCCTCCATCACTGAGCGAGGAGTTGGTGGCAGCGAGGACTAAGGAGCAGGTGGCAATTTGGGGAAAGGTCTGGTTTCATGGATGTTTTGGCTAACTCAGATTCGGAGGCCCTCAAGCATGAATGCATATGCAGATAGTGAGGGCTGGGTCCTGTCAGAAGCTCTAATCTGTTCTCAGAAGCCTCTGTCCTATCAGATAGGAGAGGAAATGTCAGCTCTGGCCCCTGTGGAGGGGACAGGCTCAACTTTGGGAGGAAAAGGAAATGAAGGTGGAGTTCCAGTTTCTCTCCAGAGATGCCAGCCCTTCAATTAAGGGAAGAACTCTGGCAGACTATGAAATGGAACAGCACCCCACCCTTCCCTGGAGGAAAAGTGAAATCTCCAGAAGGAACACCTTCCAGAGGATGTTCAGGGAGATGGGACTTCCAGCCCTGAGACTGCCTGCTCCAGACCGTCAAACCCCTCTCCACCATCCCTGCTGTGTATGCGTCCCTGTCAACTGTGGACTCACATTTACCTGTACCCACAGGGCTGTGTGTGTGCAGTGGGGGGATGGGGAGGTTATAAAAACAAAAGGCCTTGGTCACTTCCCTATAGGAGCTCTGGTGGCATACTGCCTAAGGCATTGGACTGCTAACCAGAAGGCTGGAGGTTCATACCCACCAGCCACTCCTCAGAAGGAAGATGGGGCAATCTGCTTCCATAGAGATTAGAAAAACCAAACCAAACTCACTACCATCGAGTCAGATCTGACCCAGCCTTGGAAACCCAAGGAGGGGTTGTTATGAGTCGAATCTACTCAAGGGCAGTGACTGGTTTGGTTTTTGGACTTCCCTGAGGTTATTACTATCTATTCAGGGGAGAAGCAAGCACAGTCACAGATTCCTCTGACTAGAGGCCAAGCTATCTCTGATAAGAAGCCTTAATAAATGAGGACTAGGGAGGGAAGCATTCATTCTATCCAGGTGGTTTGGTGTCAGCATCACAGGGACTCATTGGAAGCAATAAAAATAGGCCTTGGAGAATGAGTATTAATGTGGAAGAAGGAAGTGAGGGACAAATAAGAGAAGGGGAAAGGGAAGCAATGTGACCTAGGGCTTCTGTGTGTGCCTAGGGGTAGTCTGGATTGAATGTGCCCTCATAGGGCACAGGAGCGAGGACAGGTAGACCCGCGGCCCACTGGAGAGAAAAAAAGCAAGATGGTGAATGCATGCTTGGTAAGTCAACTCTGTCTGTTGGCGGTGATTCTCCGATTCTTGTCTTGGTTTTGTTGTTGGGTGCCGTAGAGTCAACTGAAGTTCACAGAGACTCTATGTAACAAAGTAGAACTTCCTCATAGGGTTTTATTGACTGTAATTTTTATGGGAGCAGATCACCAGGTCTTTCTCCTGCAGAACCGCTGGGTGGGTTCAAACCACCAGCTTTTCAGTTAGCAGCCAAGCACTTAACTGTTACACCACTGAGCTCTTGGCCTTGCTTTTACTGAACAATTTGTAACAATGTAAGAATGGCAGTAATGACAGTAATAACTAATACTTAACTGAATGCTTTCTGAGGGCTGAAATACCTTATTCCAGTGATTTTATTTCATCCTCCAGGCCACTCTGTGAAGTAGATTTTACTCATGGTGAGGAAGTGGAGGATGGGGAGGCTGTCTCACAGCAAAAACGTGGTGGAGGAGGATTCACATCAGGCTGCTGGGCCTCCTGTTTCAGGGGCATTGGAGTGGAGGACTGGGAAGGAGGCCTGGGCTCACTGTCTAGAGACCTGACAGGGCCCTTCTTCTGTGCCTCCAGATGTTCGTGCTCTGCCATGGCCTCCTACAGCTTTGCCAGCTCCTGTACAGTGCCTACTTCAAGAGTAGTCTCACCACCATTGAGAAACGTTTCGGCCTCTCCAGTTCTTCCTCAGGTCTCATTTCCAGCTTGAATGAGGTAAGCAGGAGGTTCTGGTCCACCAGGCCCCACTTGTGGCCCTCCTTGGTCATGGGATCTAGGAGAGGGCTCTATGTGAAACAGGGGAATAGGGGGCTGGGATGTGCAAATGAGGTGCAGGCCTCTCTATAAACAGCATCTTAAGTAATGGGGACAGTCTGATCCAGCAGGTACAGTGAGAGCAACTACATTTCCTGAGGTGTTACCATGTGCCAAATGCTGTGCTGAGAGTCTCCAATGGCTGACCTCGGGGCCTCACAGCAACCCTTCCAGCAGGTGCTCTGCTCATCTCCACTTGACAGAGAATACTGAGGTTTAGCAAGTGCAAGTGGCTCACTCAAAGTGTGCAAGTCTGCCTGTCTCCAAACGTTGTGCCTTTAATTGAATTCTGTGGTGACCCATGCATTTGTGTGGCCTCAGCCCCAACACTATGCAGGAAGAGATGAGCCCCAGGCACAGAGGTGGGATAGCAGCCCAGACTCAGGCAGCTCCTGTCTTATGAGGATCACAAGAGTCAGAGCTGCTCAGCCCCCTTGACTCCCAGTCAGAGCTCTATGAGCTTCCAGCAGCATGGATGAGGACATTTCACACTGTCCTCTGGTGACTCCGTATCAAAGTTACAGGGGAGTAGGGTAGGCCAAGAGGCAAGGAATGGGAGGTCAGAAGGCAGAGTTTGCCAGGAGTACTGGAAGCCAAGGAGAGAGAAAGAGAGAGGGGATGCAACCCACCTGCCATCAAGGCTGCAAAATCAGTGGTTCCATGGTGTGGAGACAGGGCACCAGACCTACCTATTCTCTTCTCTTTCCCAAGGCCCACTCTTCCTGGATAAAGGCAGTGGCCTCATCCTCCCAGGAACTGAGCTGTGCCTCTGGAGCACGATTAGACAGGCCCTTGACTTAGTGAAATCAGGTAGATGCAGTAAGTTAGAGGGACTACTCCCCTACCACCACCCCACCCCAGAGCATCTCTGGCTGTGATGGAGCTGTACAAGAAGATGGGATGTCTCCTAACACCCCTCCATCACCTTTCAGTCTCCCCTTCCCTCCTGAAATGGTTGAATGGTGACCAATGCTTTTTGGTACTGTGATTCTGTTATTATTTTTGATGTTTCCTGCATCATTTAACATAGGTCTCGGGGCTAAGATTTAAATATATGTTTTTCAGTTGGCAATTCAATCCATAACAGTCTTTGATAATGACCAGGGCATATATTGTCCTCATTCATGACACACATCAGGAAAAACAACTCTCTGATATTGTGTCACCACAATCCTGTCCCATGGCCCTGGCAGGCATCACTAATCTACCACAGTCTTATTTCCTGCTGAATCCAAACACAGACTGGATCTTTCTCAGCACAGTATTCTAGGTACCTCTACTGATCAAAATCAAAGCTGGCATGTAAGCTGAACCCTCCCTACCACCTCAGGCCCATGTGATGACCTATTTGGTGATCTCCCCATGGGTAAATTTTCATTCATATTGTCCCTGTGCCCGGAACAAAAATATGAGCTAGATATAGTTGGCTTCTTCAATGGTCAGGGAGTGGTCAGCTGGTACTTGTGGGGCCAAATAAGATGGGAGGTTGATTAGGCAAATAGGGGTATAATATTTCAAACAGGGCTATGGTTCAATCAAAAATGTAAATAATTCATCCATTAAATAATTCTATCTTTTCCAAACTCAGATGAACTTTACAAAAACCTGGCTTCAGCCATGCTTATGGGCATAACATTAGAAAGTACCTTCTTGTCACCTAACAAAGCCTGTGTGTTTGTGTCTCTGTTTGTGCCCATGTGTGTTTATGTCTACATCTAGGTGTATATTTGTGTGTGTGTGTGTGTGTGTGTGTCTATATCTGTATGTTTGTGTCTGAGAGTGTCTTTGTGTCAATGTATGTGGAGGAGGTGGATGGGTGAGTATGTGGAGAAGGTAGGACAGGAATTCATCAAAGGCCTTTCTACATTCCTGTTGATTCTGATCCAGGCATTTAGAAACACACCAAGTGGTAAAGCAGGGCAAACTAGGCAAGTAGAAGGTTGTGTGAGATTCCGTAGTTTTGTGGTAGGCATGGATCCTTGAGCAGAGCCAGGCCAGAATGGAAAATCTTGTTATGGAAGAGGAGACCAAGAGACTCTAGAGATGGAAGACAGTGCATCCACAAGGCGGCAGCTGCACTAGGATTAAGGGGTTGAGTGAGTGAAGGATCCCAGAGATACTGAAAAGAAGAAAAGGCAGGATTTGGCAGCTACTTGAGTACAATATGGAAAGCACCACAGACCACAAAGAGGTTGCCTACCAGAAGCCTAGGTGAGCAGCCCTCCAAGGGGGGCATCATCCCTCAGGTGCAGTTCACAGTCTCAAAGACTTATGTGGACCAACAGGTGGGGGTGAAGGGGCAATACATGCTGGATATGAAAGCCTAACAGCAGGAAGAGAAGCTCAACTGAACGAAGACATTGGGCATTTGGCCCTGTGCAAGCAATGCCTTCCCTTGTTCACAGCTAAAGGCCAGGACTGAGTAGACAATCAATGGGGAACCTAGAGGCTCTCTGACCTTAATACATTCCAATCAGTTTGACCTGGAACTCTTTGGTTTGAGGTATTAAAGAGCCAGGGATGTGTTACAAATGGGCTTTGTAACAGCTTTCAAATGGTCCACCAGGAAATCCACATGCTGCTTTAGAGAATACTCCAGTGGAAGGAGCCCTGATAGTGCAGTGGTTAAGCACTCAGATGCTGCAAAAACGACAAGGAGGCCACATGTTCTGACCTCCTCTAACCCTACAAGGGGAAGGCAGGATTACCAGCAGTAACCCAAGGCCTATTACTGCAAGGCCAGACATGCTGCCTCCCTCCAGCCCTTTCACCAACCGTTCCTCCCAAGGCACCCACCACCTCTCTCCTGGGTTCGATAATTCACTGCAGTGGCCACACAGAACTCACAGATTATGGGGTTTATTAGGGAAGCACCAGGCTACAATTCAAGTTCAAGAAAAATGCTCAGTCTCTCTCCCAGCCCACCGTCCCTCGGCCAACAGTCTCTCACAGTCTCTTTCCCAGCAGCACTGGTCCCTCAGTGTCTCACTCAGCAATGCGTGTCTCTTGCATCTCTTTCCCAGCAACGCCTGTCTCTTTCAGGGGTGCGTGTCTCTTTCGGCAGCACATCTTCCTCAACCAGCAGTCAGAGAGAGTTCTGCCTCCAGGAGGCCTCCTTTGAGCCCGGAAGGGTGGTCAAACTAGCCAATCACAGCATCAGAACTCTAAGCACGTGAGAGAGAGTGGGCACCTCCCAGAACATTGTATTGTGCCACTCCCAACAGAAATAACCCAGGTGGATAGCTTCAGCAATCAGGGGGCTGCTCAGTTGCTCATACAAAATCCCACCTTGGAGTTTACAAAGACTTATGGGTAGAAAAGCCACACTAAGTAATTTACTACACCGCAGATGCTAAGCAAAAGGTTAGTAGTTCAAACCCACCAGATGTTCCACAGGAGAGAGACATATATGGCACTCTGCTTCTGCAAAGATTACAGCCTTGGGAACCTATGAGGCAATTCTACTCTGTCCTAGATGGTTGCTAGGAGTTGGAATCAACTTGACAGCAATGGTTTTTTGTTGTTGTTTCTAGCGGCTGAGGCTGGGGGACTAAGGCCTAGGCTACAGAGGCCTTCCTCTCCTCAGCTGTAACAGCCTCATTTTCTGGTTGTTTATTTTATGTTAGGGAGAAAGGCTTATGGAACAAGATCTTAAGCCAGCTTCAGCCATGACAGCTGTGAAGGTCCAGCTTCCCTCTGAAATACAAGCCCACCCCAAGGAGAGTACTGGAAGGGACTCTCGAGATGGATGGGCCCCAGCCACCCCAATGCTTCCTCCTTGAGTGCCCCTCAGGTCCCTCCAGCATCCCTCACTCAGACATTTTAAAATCAGCCTCAGTTAGCATAGCTGATATGGTCTGACATTTACAATCATTCCATGAATAATTATGGGGAAACAAGAAGTAAATGAATAAAATCTAAGAAGCAAAAGAATAAAGCTCTCTTGCCAGATACAGGTTTCTGAACATTCTACAACCACCTGTAGCAAGTCCCTAACTTGAGCTTGGCTTCATCTTCACACACCTCTTCCTCTCCTATCTTTATGTATCAGAAGGCATTTTACGCATTGCCGTGAAAGAGGGGTCTTCTACACAGGTGTGTCCTCTTCTTGAAAAAGCCTACCATTTACTCACGCATTTGCCCAGTAATATTTAATGAGCACTGGTGGCATAGTGCCTAAGGCATTTGACTGCTAACCAGAAGGCTGGCAGTTCAAACCCACCAACCACTCCTCAGAAGGAAGATTGGGCAATCTACTTCCGTACTGATACCACTTCAGAGACCCAAGGGAGGGGTCGCTATGAGTTGGATCCAACTCAATAGCAGTGGGTTTAGTTTTGGTTTTACTATGTTTCAGGCATTGTTCTAGGTGTGGGGAGATAGGAATGAACAGACAGAAATCTGTGCTCATATAGAGCTTACATTCTAATGACTAATATGATACTCATTTATAGAAATAAATAAAACATAAAGTAGATCAGATGATGATAAGTGATATGAAGAAAAAAAAAGTTGTGAAGAATTCTGGGAAGATGGCAATATGAACAAACCATCATTCTGACCCTTTCTCACAAATACAAGAAATACAACAAGCGGGCAGTGCTTGGCTTTGAAGGACTCTGAACTGGGGAGCAGAGGAAAGCAGTAGGGAACTGCAAACAGGCAAGAATCAACAAATCACATACAGTAGAAAACTGCTTCACAGGCTACTGGCTGCTGTGAAGTAGGATAGTGGCCCCAGAAAAAGAGCCTGCTTTCCTAACTACCACAGCCCCACTCTATACAAAGAGACAAGACACCAAGCTTCTGCCCTAAAATCAATAAGGAAGACCTTCCTGGGAGTCCATTTGGAGTGTGCAGCATCTTCCTCAGCCAGACATTGTTGGTTGCAAGCCTACTGT